CTGTCTGTACAGTTGATTACCAATTATTTAAGTGACAAATATTGTTCATTGCTGTGTAATATAAAAAAAACCTTTAATTTCTCTGTTCATTGCTGTGTAATATAAAAAAACTAATTTTTTTAGGTTAAGAAACTAAAAATGTACTTTAATGATTTTTTTTAAGCTCCCGCGGGGCCTTACCAACTGACTTGGCGAGCCACATTCGGCCCCCGGGCCTAGAGTTTGACACATGTGGTCAGGGGGATTTGGATTCAAACAGGCGACAAAGGAAAAGTTCAGTCGATGCTCGTAGCATTAACTCACCTTTGTCCGTCAACGTAGCCTCGGCTTAACGGACAGGAAACTGGAATTCAGAGAATCACAGTGAGCTGTTCCTGGTATTTCAAGCATTTTCTGTTTCGCAGCAGAAACAGAAATCCACTCACGAGCAGCTTAGCTGCTGAATTAGAGTTGTGACTTTTGTTGGATCGAGAGTCTGAGTGAAGTGTGCAAATACTATACTGTCTCTTCAGCCTTGACCTGGTTAATGGTTAGGTTTGTAAGTCAACAACTGCCCTGAAGCAGTGGCACAACAATGGAGAGTGCTGTGTTTTGTTGAGGTTGTGTACTTGACGCTGTGAGATTGTGGCTTCTGAATGTGAAAATCAATGGCTGGGCTAAAATGGACGTTTTGTTCCGGACCATATGTTTAACACCACAAAGGCTTCTCCGCAACTATTCGGCGCAACGTATGATTTAACTGGTCAGTCCGGTCAGCTGTGAGCACCACAGGGCCACAGTAAGTGGTGTGTTAAAGTAATGCGTTGAAATGTGAACGAACGGGTTTTAGAAATTGAAAAAAAATGTGCAGAAAATATGCCGTCAGATTTCCAACCTTTCTCCTCCTCGCCAAGGCTAAAATTAATTTGAGAATAACATGAGTTCATGTCAACGTGCCACGCCAAGTGGTAGTTGTGCAGCAAACAGATGGTTCAAACTAGTGTGCCGCTCACTGCCCCTGGTGCAGTAGTTTGAATTCAGAGTCATTTCCCTGCTGTTATTGCCAGAACATTGCTGGCCGTTGAGCTCAGGAGCATAAATCCCATGGAGCATTGCTCCTATAAAGTTAATAGTAGAAAATTGTGCTCAAGCATTTCTACGGCTAATTGCTGTTAGCGTGCGCATCTATTATTTTCCCCTTTTATTAACGTCCAGAGCAGCGGCTTTCCAAAGGCACGAGCAGCTGCAGCAGCAGCAGCAGCAGCAGCAGCTCTGCCAATAAACGTGTCATAGACAGGAGTACACATGGATAGGACAATAATACTATCATAAACCAGAGACACGTCTGCCACGGTCGTTTCATTGGAGGACAATACATACACGTTCAATACAAAAACCCCTATATAATTTTTTTTTTATTATACAAATAACACAATTTAATACACGTTCAATACAAAAACCCCTATATATATTATAAAAAGATTGAAGTTGACCAAATAATTTTTTTTAATAATACAAATAACACAATTTAACATTTAAAAATACATTTAAGGGCAAATTCACTTATTTTGACATCATAGTCATGGGCCAAATGATGGGGGTTCACAGGCCGGAATTTGCGATTGTGTTTGCGATCGGTGGTAAAGTTTAGACAGGAGCAAAGTAAGGTCGGTCAGTTTTTGCATTTCCCGTTCACAGGTAGGCTCAGTGTTTACACGCAGACATTAATCTTGGCCTCAGAGTCTCTGGTATTTTTCACAGCTCCAGTCTAGACCTAATTCAAAGCCCTGCCTGTTCAACTGGGAGTCTTTGTGACGACTCGACTGCTCTGTCTAGATCTGTTTCTAAAACCATCTCAAGCATCAGGATGAAAATCAGGCAGTGGCCACGACAGACGAAGTCTTGATGATGACACCCAGTCATGTGACCAGCGGCTGGCACGGTCATGGGTCATGGGGATGGCTTTTCCACAGAGGCTGAAAAACCCCAAAAAGATTTGAGAAAAAATGTTCGCCACAGTCAAAGACTCGTCACGTCACCAGACGAGACCAGACAGTCTGTGTGATGATGGTCGTGCGTTACTATCACATGCAATACATCCTCAAATGAACATGAGTCACGAAGGAAGATGCCAGCACATCATGAGTTGTCTTTGTCCACTGAGATGGGCAGTATAAAAAATAAAAACCCTAACCCTCTGTGACAGAGGAGGGCGTACTTGACTGACCTGGCTCTGCATGTGGACCAAGTCATTTGCATTTCTTTTTCACAGAACCTGTTTTAACAGAGTCTGCCAACACGTGGTGTGTGTGGTGTAGAACATAAAAAAGCAGAATTTTTTGGAAAAAAAACTGCAGTAAATCACACTTTTTAACAGCAGTAAGCGATAATAGACCAATAATGTGAGTTGACCCCTGCTGTTTCACATCATAGAAGAAGAAACACCAACTCTGTTTATGTATGAGATTTTATCAAAGCCAGAGGCCGTCAAAACTAAAGCGGTATTTGAAAACAAAACCATTCTGACAACCTGTAAAACAGGGGTTCCCAACCCCCGGCCCAGGAACCGGTGCCTGTCCGTAGGTCATCTGGGACCGGGCCGCAGTGGGACAAAGTTGTAATTAAATTAAAATGTAATTAAAAAATAATCCAGTCATATTCCTTTACTTTTTTCATTCAAAGATAATCTGTCAATGTTTCGAAACAACAAGTCAAAGGTCATTCAGACTTTGACACTAACAGAAGAAAGACTGAAAGAGGTTTTATTTTGAAAATGTATTGATCCTTCAACGATGGCGCGGTATTTCTGTTCCGCAGTAACGACTGATACGGGCCGACCTGTCCTCGGTAAAAAAAAAAAAAGTAGGCTACTGCTGCTGTTAAATACTGCAGTAGATGTGTTTTTTTTCTTCATCATTCTGTAACGTTTTAGTCCCTCAGGTTCAAACTGGATAATTTTCTCATTGAATAAATCTGAGAAGAGAGTTTAAATATTCTCCTTGATTTGGATCACAGCTTGTCATGATGATGTGTCTCAAAACCAGCCCATGGTTTTATAACTTCACTAAGGTTAAACAGCTGAAGAGCTCAAACGGTCCAGACATCATGCCTAATCATGGGTCGTCCTTGGCCCGTAATCTGTGATTTGTTTCCTTTTTTCCCTTTATTTGGCGTTGACTGTAGTTGGACGTTCAACAGCTTTTTGTCAGAGGAATATTCGGTGGGCGGAAGAGGAGAGAGAGGGAGAGAGGGAGAGAGAGAGGGAGGGGAAGTTTAGCATGCCAGTGACGGAAAACTCTTAACCCAGAGTGAAAAAAGCCAAAACTGACAAAGGAAGTGGATGCCTGGTTGTAACACGTCGTGGTGTAGTAAATGTAACCGTTTCCCATTACACTCCCAATCAACCCTGTGATTAGTCATGGTGCGTAAACGGAGGTTTCTCCAGTGGTAAGCTTCTGCTCGCCTCTTCATCCGTTTGTTTTTTTTTTTTTTTTTTTCCCTGCAAGTTTTTTTTGCGTGACAACTGTATTCGCTGGATCAGCCTGGTTTCAGTGCAAACAAGTGAGCCCAGGAGTGATTCATGGAAAATCAAAAGTTGCCAAAAAGCACTGTGTGTGTGTGTGTGTGTCTCTGTGTGAGTGAAACAACAGTAACCAGTGTGTTCCTCCATGTGAAGAACTTACAACCAGCTGCACGTAGCAAAATTATTAGTCTCTGCTAGAAAAGCTAATTCTTTGAAGCTACTGTGTTTTGTAATGTTTGTCTTTAACCACAAACAACTACAAATGAACTAAAAAATTGTTTTTGGAGCTAATTCTTTGAAGCTACTGTGTTTTTTTAATGCTTGTTTTTAACCACAAACAACTACAAATGTTTTTTTGTTTTTGAGGCTAAGTCTTCTGAGGTATCGTAGAGGTATCGTGTTCTTCCACCAGGTTGGACGGTCACAGATCGCAGAAGAACGCTGACTGACTCACTGTTGTATGTCATGCCTCAACATTTCACATTCAACCTTTGCCCCCACCTCCCAACCCCAAGGTGGAGGATTCATGAGGAAGGGGTGTTAAAAACTGACATATCACTATGTGGAATGCTGCCGTGATGGTCACTGAAAGTAGAAGTGAAAGCTGAAGGCAAACTGAAGAAACAAACTGAGAGGTTTTTTATGTACCAGATTAACATGCACTATAAATGTGTGTCGCAGTCACAAAGTCCAGATCTGTTGGCCATAAAAACTAAATTATGTTTATCTTTTCTATCTTAAAATAATTAAATCGAGGTTTGAAACCAGACATTCAGCCCATTAACGTGTGATGCCTTGTCGATTTCTGTTTATTATCCTGGTTTTAAATAACATCACGACAGTCTTTTTTGTTTTGTTTTTTTGCTGCATAAAATGGTTTTGACGCGGTGCTCAGTGTGCACTTAGTGCCCCGTTCTCACACACCTCTGACTTCTTATATGTAGGAAACATTTGTCAGGAAAAGTCCCCATCTGGCCAGGAAGGATATGAAACCGAATATGGATTCCATTTCTTTTAAATTCAGGCGTAGCTCGGTGAGGACGTATAAACAAACCTCTAGATGCCTTTCTTTTTTCTTTTTTTTTTTCTTCCCATAACTTTTCCCTCCTTCTGTTTTTCCAAGCCTCAGCCTTCGCCAGGCAGGAGAACAAGAGGAAATGGCTGGGTTTTCCATAGAATATGTTGTGTTTCAATTATGTCCATGTCAGTAATGATTTGAGCGAAGCCTTTTACTGTGAAACACCTCGTCTGTGCCTCAGTCCGAGACTATAAACACAAAGCGCGGGGCTTTTTATTGATTCATGAGCTGCAGTCTGTTGTAGTAGCTTGATTTTTGTTCCAGAATGAAATGTAACAGAAGTTGGACCGAGACGTTCAAGCATCACAGCTGTTCTGTGTGGTCTTATTAAAATCTGGAGGAACTTTCTACATGGAAAGCCAGACCTTGAGTGTGATAGGTATCATTTTCAATTATTGTTGGGTTTTTTTTTTTGCTTTATGTAGATGGAAAAAAAACCTAGCGTAGCTGCAGTGTCACCACCTGCAAAAGACACGAGGCAGTCTTGGAAATGTGAAAGTAAAAATGATGATTGATTGGGGAAAAAAAGAGCAGGAAAGAGCCGTTCTGTTCCAGTAAAAAGTATTTTTTGGAGTACTCAGCACTCACCCTCTTCATGGAGCAATAATGTTTCTGTTATCTTGGAGTGTTGTAGAATGTCAAAGCCAGCTGTATGTCTAAACACTGTCTAACCAGAATTCAAATTCTCAGTTGACACTTCATTCTTTCATTTTAACACTTTGTTTGTTTTTTTTCTCTCTCTCTCCTGTCCCAGAATCTCTTCAGTCGTCCATGCCCCTCTGCAACAGTGAACATGACCAGACAAACGCTGACCTGGGTCCAGATTGTTACAGCCGGCTGTGTGAAGAGCCACTGGATGCGGAGACCGAACGTCCAGTGAGCCTGGTGTCCACCTTGTCCTCTGACTCGTCGTCTCGTGATAGTCGCAGCCTTTTTGGCAGCACCATTACTCTTCCTGTATCCACCACGCCGCCTCTACCATGTGGGGAGGACATAGACTTGGAGCTGAGCCCAGCTGAAGGGCAGGCTGGAGATCACAGTCCCTACACAGCGAGTACCAGGAACCACTGGCTGGAACGGCTGGAGTCCAAGGGGATCAGCAGCCAGTGGAACAAAAACAATGATGTCTCCAACAGGAAGGCGAGTCCCGAAATACCTCACATCCATGCCTCCCCTGTCGTCACCAGCGCCATGGCTCCGAACCCGAACCTGACCTACGCCGACCGCGTCGTCATGGAGCTCATTGAGACGGAGCGCATGTACGTCAAGGATCTGAGCAGCATTGTGGAGGTGAGCGGGCATCAGCTGCTGTTCAAACTGAATTTTCCTAAACTCTGGGCCAAGTATTCACTGAAAATCAGTCCCTGATATTTGAGAGAGTTATTAATTAAGTCTCCAAGTGTATGTGAAACACATGTTTTTCTTGGCTTCATGTGCAGCTGTGACTCAGCGTCTACGGCTGAGGCAATTAACTGTATCTGGTCAGCCCCGAGCCACAAAAAAAGGAAATTATGTTCAATATCTGATAAGAAACTTTTTTTTTGTGGCCACAAATTGGTCTTGTACTTGTGAATCATCCAGTAGATGAGTTTATTTAATTTTCCAGCTGTTGTCCTGATACGCTGCCATCAGAGTAAATTATTCAAATGGCAAATATGTGTCTGCACTTGACAATCCTCTGCTCTGTTTAAAGATTTCCAGCCAATAGAACTGAAGGCTGCGGTGTTTATGATGTGGTCGTTGTGTCTTTGCATAAACCATTCTGTATATTTACAAAGTGGTGAAAATTTACAGCCTGTGAAGACCAGAGTTGTGGTCTGAGCTCATATCTGGAGTTCAGATACAGTTAAACTGGGTCACAGGGCTCTGAGAAAGACGGAGAAGACAAGTTAACTCCCATGATTGGGTAGAAAAAAAAACCCAGGGATGACTTTGTAATCTAGAAGTCCCAGACTCAGAGGTCCACCTGGCCTTGGGTCCCTCTGTGTTTTGGCCTGGAAACAAGAGCGCTGTGCTGTCAAACAGCTTCTGCTGCACTGCTGGTAATATCCTCAACACGTGAAGCGTTTCACAGACTGGCTGGCGGTAAAACGACCAGCACCTCTCCTCATCTTGTCTCCGACGGTGCTGGC